TCTAAGGATGCGCTACAGGTACAAAGGTGGAAAGATCAAAGTGATAATTTTTAACACTAGGGGAATAGAGATCGTACGTTGTCATGCTGCTACTTCTACCATTCACTGAAAGGGAGAAGAAGAGAGGATAGAGGCAAAGGTGAAAGTGTGTTCCTTTTGATTGAAGATTCATCCTACGGGAATCTCCAGCCACTTCTCCCTTTCTCCTTTTTTCCAACTCATCATTTAAATCCCCGAACTATCTTCTCTTGCAAAACAAAGAATACTTGTTATTCTTTGTTTCAAGAACCTCTCTCGAGACTTGTGATATTACTCTACCTTTTGTACAAAGGCAAAATGTAACGCATATACTCAATAAACACTGAGTACAATTCTAAAATTCAATTTAATTAGCATAATACGTAATAACTAAGAAGAAGACAACTGGAGGGCTGGAAATCACAGTGGTGTAAATCATTCGTTACTTCTTAGAGAAGAGCCGCCTGCCTTTCATCGTTATCAAAAATTTCACTATACTTTTCCAAGTCATTAAAACGTTACCTGAAATTAATAAAGTGATAACTCAGTCAATTACATACACTTTTATAACACTTGATAAGGCAATGCTTGCAAAAGTCGAACGAGAGTACAAGAATGTGATTAAACCTAAAGAAAGAAAAAAAAAAAATCTGAATTTATACAGCCACGTAGATTTCCAGCCAATTACTTAATATAAAGTCAATTACTTAATATTAAAAGAGAATGGAGCAAGAAGTGACTGCAGTTGCTACCACTACTTTAGAAAGTCTACCTCTGAAAGTCCACTACAAGACAGGAATTCCGTACGAACGTTATTCCGGTGGCGGAGGTGGTGGCGGTGAGGAACTAGGAGGTGGTCCGCTCGGCAATGGTGGCGGTGTCTTAGGTTGCTGCCGAGCAGACGGGACTGGGATCATGCTTTGACTTTGTCGCACATTCTGTGGCAAGGATGGTGGCGGTACAGACGTATCAATAGCACCATCTGATGTTATAATGACGTTACCCGCCGGATACATCGGATATTGTTGCTGATACTGCGAATAGTACATGATGGGATCGTAAACGTATCCAGCAGGATTGAACATCGAGGGCGGCGGGTAATTAGTAAAGAAATAAGAATCCGGTTGGGATTGATTTACGTGGCCAGCCCTCGAGTAGCCTGGATCACCACGAGCCGAGGATGCATGAGAGTGATGTGGATTACGGACATTGTTACTATTGTACTCTTGATAGTAGCCGTCGCGCTGGCCGGGAGCATTGTAATGGCCCGCCGATCCTGCTGGTGGTGGACCACGCCCGATATACTGGCGGCCGCCTCTACCGCCTCCACGTACCTTATTATTGCTGCCTGAACTATAATGTCTGCCGTTTTGCCGTTCGCCTGGTCGGTGTTGCCCGTAACCCGCCGAGGTAACCTGCGATTGCTTCTTCGTCGGTGGAACACTGGTCGTCGGGTTCTCCTTCATATCCGAACGATCGCGCTTCCGGCTCTCGTTCGTGAACTCTGGAACGATACTGCTCGAGCTAGTCGTAGTCGTCAACGGCGTACCAGAACTCCTCGAGATCCCGTCCGTCCGGATTTTAATCTTTAACGGACCCTGTACCACCGACTGACCTGGCGAACTGGACACACTGTCCGTGCCCTTTAGCCGTTCCTTTGGAATAATGATTTTGATGCTGGTGTTCTGAGGAGACTTGTTCTTATCAGGCGGCACCGCACTACTCGTCGACTCGGTGCTCAGGTTTAATTTATCCTTGGGAATTGTGATTTTAATTGGTACAGCTAGCACGGTGTCCTCACTCTTTTCCTTATCCTTTTCCCGATGTTTCTCCTTGTCTTTGTCTTTATGCTTGTGCTTGTGCTTCTCCTTGGTTTTCTCCTTGTCCTTGTGCTTGTGTTTCTCCTTCTTTTTCTTCTTCTCGCTCTTGTGGTGCTCCGATCTTTTCTCTTCTACCGGTGGAGCAACGGTTATCGTGGTTGACGTCGGCACAGAGAGTATAGATTCCGTAGTGGTTTGCACGGGTACAGAGAGGACACTTATATCTACAGTCGAGGCTATCATCGGTTCACTAATCGTTGATAAGGACAGACACTGACTTTGAACAGGAACAGGTTCCTGTTGCGTGAGCAACATGGAATGAGATATAGGTGGCTGATGAAGTTGTGAAGATGGTGGTGGTGCTGGTGGTAGTGGCGGTGGTGCTAGTGGTTGTTGTTGAAGTTGTTGTTGTTGTTGTTGTTGCTGCTGCTGCAGCTGTTGCTGTTGAAACTGTTCCTGATGAATTTGTTGTTGCGATTGCATTTGACTAAATTGTTGCATATTTTGTAACAACGATGGCATCGGTGCTAAAGGTTCCTGAAGCAGGGCACTTATACTTTGAGCAGATTTCAATGGTGACAAATATTCACTTTTAATCTGAGAGTGTTCAGCCTTTATCGGCAAATCTGTTTTGTAAGGTTCCTTCTTAATTTGATATTCTTGTGGCTCTTGCTTCATTAGATTAGTGTCCAGTCCGTTCGTCAAACCGTGCTGATTCGTAGAAATGTGTTGCTGTGCAGGTATCGTGCCAAAACGCGATATCGTCGGCTCAGAGTCAAACGGTTTGATCAGCTCCGGCGGTTTCATATCGTTCGCGATTTGAATGGCTCTACCGTTCGCCGAAGGATTGTCTCTTATAGGCTGTATCAGTTCTGGTACTCTACCGAGCATTTTAGTTGCCTCGAAACTGGTATCGTCCATCTTCACTTTCGCTTGCTGCACGCTTTCGTTGCCCGTGCAACCCGTACGATGCCTTTTGTGGGACGTTGTGGAAACATCGTTAGCCGATCGTTTGTTCGATTGTGCTTCTTGCTGCTGCAAACCTGGCGGGCTTGCAAAAGGCGATACTAAATTAAAGCTTATCGACGAATCTGGTACGCGTTCTTGTTTAGGAACTTTTGCAGCCGAGGGCGGCGTCTTTTGCTTAGTCTTAGGCCTCTGTGAATGAGATTCCCGAGGCGTTGGTACTTTCTCTGGACTGAACAGCGATTTCGGCTTGCCAGAGGGGGTTTGTAATACACTCTGTTGCATATCGGACGAACTTTTGTCTATGTCATCGTGCCGTGGTCGTTTCTCAGTTTTTGGATCGTCGAGATTGTTCAAAGATGATAAACTCGACAATTGGGAATTATTTCTAATAGTATCTTTCAATATTTGAGACACGCCGTGAATTGTATTGGTTATTATCTTCGACGATAACGACGGTTTCTGATTAAGTAATGAAGTTGAAATGGAGCTGGTTGGAGACTTTTCCTGCGTAAACGAACTCTGGCTAGTGCCAAGCTTCATATCAGTCGGCATCGCCCCAGAACTAACTTGTAGTTTTTCTGATTGATTGTATTTTGTATGATGCGGCGGCTTCTGTGCATTCGAACTATATGGTACGTCGAGCGTTGGTTTCGGTGGAGGTAATGGCTTTTCGATAAGCTTTCTGACCTCTTCACACCTCTGCTCCAACGTATCAGACTTCCTTTGTCGATCGATTCTGGTTGGATCCGGATATTTGTATGGCTTTTGTTCACTATCTTTCCTATGTTCTACAGGTTTGTGCCTTGGATCATATATTCTTTTATCATGACCCTGATGTTTACTTTCTACTCCACTTGATCTGTGCACACTATGATTATTATTACTAAGTTTTTCTTGTATATTCCCGTGAGACGTTGGCTCCTGTAACGATCCGACATCCGATCTATGAGTAACGGAATCGGTCATAGAACTATCCAAAGTTAATTCTTTCGGTACGGTATGACTGTGAGAATGGAGAGCACTATTATTACTACTACTACTGCTACTTGTACCAGTGTTTGAATTGTACTCTCTTTGTAGCCTCTGTCTATTGGGATCGCGATTTGGTTCCCTAGCTTGAGTACTACTCGAGTGCCTCTGAGGTACTGGTTGTCCAACTTTTATATCTGGTCTGTGATGATGATTATGATGGAGCGTCTTCTGTCCAAGAGGCAACGGATGTTTGTTCAGCACATTTGTACTAGATACAGGTTTATGGTGATGAGAATGATGCTTATTAATATCCGACACGTGACTTTGCGGAACCGACGGTGGAATTGATGCCTTCTCCCTTTCCAAACGTTCGCGTTCTTTCTTCTCTCGATACTCTCGATAATCTACAGGAGGTCTCGCAGACACAGGTACATTCTGTTTCTTTTCTTCTTGTTTCTCCATCTGATGAGGGCGATTCGTATGAAATGTGGGTCCACCATCAGCAGTCGTCGCTGGAGACTGTACCTTGCGAGGTTCCGCATCCTACACAAAACATTGTATAGGATCATCTAATGAATTCTCTAATAAATTATCTAGTTAATATGATGTTACTTAATGTGATAATAACACTTACAAATGGTGAGTTTGGTAAACTAGGATGATTAATGCTTGGACTTTGATTAGCAGATATGCTCATTATTTTCCTTTTCAATCTTGACGGGCACTTATCAAATATGTGAAGGAATTCTGCTGTAAGCTCTTGTAATAGTTCAGATGTAACAGTTCTGTCGACGTACCAGAACCAATGCTTTCCTTCCGTGCTTTGAGGTATCTATATGTAATAATAAACAATAAATAATCATGAAATTGCAGTTAATCAGACACTCTCTGTAATAAATTGTAATAACACTTGCCTCCCAGTTAGACCATTTACATGCGAGATGAATACAAAAACAGGCAACTACCGTTGGCTTGTACTGCAGACACATGGTTGTTAAATGCAAACTGAAAAAAAAATTTTTTTATAAGTTAACATGAGAACGTGCTTTCCTCATTTTTTTTTTTTTTTTTTTTTTTTTTAAATATAACCCAGGGCATAAAAAGAACTGTACTATAAAATCAAAGTACTAGTTCCATTAAACATGGGTAACATCAAGATAAAAATCAAGATGGAACTTTTTACGATTCGTTGAAAATAACTAACAATATTTCCAATTATAAACTTTCGTAAACGGAATTTAATTCCAAAGAGTACGTTTCCAAAACAGTTAAAAAAACAGTATGTGTAAATGTAACACTCTGTCGCGATGAGCTACACAAAAATTTGAACATAAATGTTATTAGCTAAAGCAATATGCGATATTTTTCTACGCTCATAATTATAAACGTAAGCTTCACAACACTCTGTTATATCGTAGCAAATTTGCCAAAGTTTGTCCCACAATACAGAGGACTTTAAGTTAGTTGTATTAAGTTATATAGATTTGAAATTAAATATTGAAGAAGTTACTAGAGGAAAGTATCATTTCAAGTAAATAAAATAATTCATGATTTTAGTATATTTGCTATCATTTATAAAAATTATTTCTTACTAAAAAAAATTATACAAATCCAAAAATTTCTTTGTAAAGAAATAAATCTTCAGAGATAAATTAAGGCTTAATCTACATCGATTATTTAATTGCGATTATAATCTGTTCAAATATTACTGATTAAATAATATTTGAATGAATTATAAACAGACTGTGTCATCAGAATAAATTACTAGCTTAATAGTACGGCTTCCTTTTTTTATCATTAAATATTTTTGGTCATTCACTCGTCAATGCAATACTTCCACATTCATTTCATTCACGCTTAATTTATTTTGTGCATCTACAGCTTAAAAATAAGTGTATGTAAATATAAAAATAAAAATTGGACAATATATACCGTAATGTAAGAGAAAACGATCAGTCCTTAAGATTATTTCATTTACCTTCGATTAAGCAATCCTCATCGTGAACTTAGTTTACGAAATAAACTTCGTTTCGCTTTGGCATACGTTCTCTTTAGAATCAGACATTACCGCGACTGCAACGCAACATTCCTCCCCAAAAGTTACTGTTGACATTTAAACATTCGCATTAGAACTCACAAAAAAATATGAAATCAAAGTAAACTTTTGTATACTAAATTTTATCCAATATTTAATCCAATATTTCAATTCCTTCTGAAGCAAAGAATTCTGATAGATCTTTCTATCATACGTCTAAAGATATTTGCAAAATTTTATTCCACGTTTACTTTGCTTTCTAAGAAAAATATAGGTCAGAATGTTGCGCCAGTGGCTATTGCCTGACTGTTATTAGCTTGGAAATATACTTCAGCTGGCATCTATTTGACCAGAAGACTGCTAAGAGTAAGAGATACTAGGAAATAATGTGTAGCCACCTGTTAGATGCCATGAAGTATGAAGTCTGGGCTAAGTCCTTGCTCGCTGTAAAAAAAAAATTATAGTTGAATAAAATTTTTTATCAATCCAAAGTTCTAAGAATCTAAACCTATCATTATAGAATCAGTAACTTCACAGAAAATATAAAAAAAATGTAAATATAATATAAGATAATTTATGTACCTTTAACCAGGTGACAACATTTAACAACATGTGTGTGGGGATGATCAATGGCGACATCAAACCCCAATGTTTGCAGTAGAACATTCTCATTGAACACCAGATCTTGAGCTTGTTCAAGGTATTGCTAAATATTGCAAAATATATTACAATAATTAAATTCATGATTAATTCCAAATACATTGATATTAATATTAATTTTTTCTACTTTACCTCAGACCTGACATCAGGTGGGGGCTGATCTCTGTGGAGACACATGTGTGCCATTTTGATAACATGTTCTAACTTGCGTGGTTGTTCTTCGACTTTTGCTGCTAAAAATAATGCTGCTGCTGCAATTGCATTCCTGTGAAAATGTGACAGCGAGTGGAATACATAAAATCTGTGCATATAGACTATTGCCGTGTTGATACATAATTGTGACCTATATTTATTTAATTAAGGAAAATATTCAATAAATAATGTACTATTGATCAATAATTATTCTCTTCTATAAACTATAAATATGATATTTTTTATTATAGATTATTGAAAATAAAAATATTTTCTATCTTATCACATAAATTTATTGTAATATATAATAATTATTTCAAAGTAACACTTAAATTAGTTGCTGATATTAATTATAAATTGACATGTAAACAAAATAATAAAAGTAATTACCTGATTTTTTTATTAAAATATTAATTCAAGCTTCACACAATAATATAAATAAAAATTATTAAAACAATGTGTAAACGTAATTAAAACACAATTCTTATTCAATAGTTATTCAATAATTTTAAATTATTAAATTAAATGGTAAGATTAAAAAATGGAGGGCACAACAGATTACATGTAAAAAATTTTATTTAATCTATATATTACATTAATATGAAAACTTGATCAAACAAATCACATAATTTTGATGCATATTCTTGATTCAACTTATACAATTTTTAAAATCCTTCTTCATTCGTGTTTTCTATCATATCATTAATTTTCATATCTCAGAGCATTTGTTATTTTACTAAAAGAAAAATATACAAATGAAGAATTTAGAATAAGTTACAATATAAAAAACAAGAAGAATACAAAAACAAATATTATACTACATATTAAATATCATTAGTCTATTTTATCTACTATAATTATGACACATGCATTCCAAAAAGTAAAACGACAATATACTAGTATAACTATAGTTAAAAGAGTCCCGCAACATTTAATTTGAAATAATCTGAAGTGATATGTTGAAGTGCTCACAATTGAAAAGATAATTAATATGTCTATGATCTTTAAATATATATCTGAAACATAAAAATATTATAATGGAAATAGAATTTATACATACTATATTGGAAAAATATACTTAAAATATTTCTGAAATATTAGTAAATATATAATTCTATTAGTAAAAGTTGTTGCAAAACTAATAGAAGTTTCATAGTTAGCTAATATGAGTTAGTGTATATTAAATTTTACTATATTACTTTTACTACTGAAAGTAAAATAACAACTGATCTGTGAATAATGAAATTGATCAAAGAATCATCTAAAGTTTGCTACTTTGGTATAAGATTTTGAGAATGAAGAATATTATTTGCACAAATACTTAAATTGTCCCCTCTTTGTAACCTTGGTTTATTATTTTTATTATTTTTTACACTCATTTAAAGAATAATGCATAACGATAGAGCATTGATAAACTACCTACAGTCTCAATCTGACTTTTAAAGGTACATGTAAGTACGTATGTGTACATGTACATATATGCAAAATATACACATATATAAATTAAAATTATAAGATATTATTTTATACTTGTATAAAAAAATATAAGCAGAAACTATGATTTTAGTGGTGCTATTGCCAAACTTAGTTTCACAAGCAATACTGTTCTCTGCTTTCCTTACAGATATCAAAATTCTAATAGGCTTTCATTCACTTGTGTCATTCTACCGTTAATACAAATACAGCAGCACAAAAATTCCAAAATTTATCGTACATCAAAGCTAACATAATGAAGTTCAATATGGAGAACCGTAATCATGACGCGTGACCTCTTCTTTCGCACGTCACTCGTGTTTACAACGAATTAGGAATTTCACGTGAATACCGACTGAATTGAAATATAAAAAGATGAATGTGCAAAGAGAACGGAGTCGCGTAATTGTACATGGTGATGTGGGTATAATTCTGAGTTGATAAAAGGAGTAAAGGGAACGTGAAATAATGAAGGGGGAAAGGGAGGTTGAGAAACACGCAACTAAACGTACACTCGTTAAAAGGATACACCACAAGCCGCTGTCCCATATCCTGAATGAAATTTGCTGCCTGCTGCCTGTAGCTCAGTTCCTTATCCGCATCGATGCCACATCTTCTGCTCGGAGTATTTGTTAGCTGTTCTTTCGTGAAGTACCATTTTTCGTCCGTCGCCATTTATATGTACACACAACTCGGTACTAACGATGCGAACTTCACAGCGATCAGCTATGGCGGCGAGCACACAACACACAATAGCAACACGTTGAGAACTCACGTCACTATGCTAGCCGGAAACTCCCCTCCAAGTTCATACTCGTTCGACTTTTCACAATGAAACATAACCATACGTTAATCGTCGAATAAAATGTCGAATACGTTGTATATTATTTCATAAACAATTAAAATCGCTTTTCTGTTAATTATTATTTTTCTTTTGTTTACTTTATGCAACTTCACTCTATGCTTTTACATAAGAAAGGTTCCATTTTGAATTCCGGAAATAGCAAAGATTTCATTTTGAATTCCGAAATTTTTAATTCGTTTATACGTATCTAATTTCACAGCACTGCTTTAGAATCGTGGCAGCAGAAACCAACTTCGAAAAATTATTTCGCAGATAATCTGGATATCGTTTTATACGTTTATAACGTGAGATTATCGTTGAGTTTAAAGGTTGATACGAAACTTCGACATACCGTTAAAATTCGATTATGGACGTTTTATTCGTTTCTATATTTTACAAAAAGCTTTTCCCGTATTATTATAATAGTCGTGATAAATTAATAAAATCAACGTTTCGATAGTTGCATCACAGTAACAATATTTATCTTTTAAGATTTGTTATAAAAACCGCTGTGTTCTTGTGTAAAGTTAAATAGATTTTTATAATTTTGACGAGAATTTAGAGCTCGATAAACATTAAGCATTCAAAGTAATTATATACGACATTAATTAATGTACGGAAATATCTCCCACATTTTCCATTTTCATGTATCGTACAGCACATTAAAATGAACTTGATTTACGAATTTTCGGCAGGCTATGAGGTTGGTTATGGAAAGAATTCTATTATTTTCTTTCTCAAACAGTTTCAATTATGGCAATTAAGGTAAAAATTCTATAATGTTTAGAGTAAGATTACTTAACCTTGTCACAATTTTATACACTGACAAAATTTTTTCATTGAATCAAAATGCAAGAATTGTTATTTTTGTTGCTATGTTGCACAAGAAATTGCAATTTTTTTCTGAACACTAGATAATGTGGTAAATTTTTATTTGGATTAATTTAAATTAGATATCAATATTATTTTTGACAACGAATATGTTGTATTGGTTAATCGCAAACACACGTGCGTAATGAAAAATCAACTTGGCTAAATACTTTATGACCAACGTCATAACCTACCTGAACTTTTCTCAGTCTACGATAGGTATGAATCACGTAGTTTATCAATTAGAAGTTTTAGAGCTTTAAACTCCCGGAAATGACGTAGTTGAGCTAGCAGTATGTGCACGCAGCCAATGTTACCCCTGTAGCAGCGTCCCGTTATCTTGGTCCTATTGAAGGATCCAGTGTGTTGTCTTTCGAGTTATTTATTATTTATTTGCATACAACTTCAGATTTGCTTCACAATTACGAATAATTTACATTTCACGATATTAATCCTTTCATTCTCTTGAAATATCCAGAAGTACACTGACGGTGACAAGCGTGATTCGGTTGGCACTGTCTTTTCTTCACGGAAGAATTGATGTAAGAAATCACAGTAAGTTTCTAAAAGAATTATGCTTCGCGGCTTTTTTAAGTCCCGCTTAGTTTCGTTTTATTCGAATTTTCACAAAAACCAATCACATGTCCGTCTCATTCTTTCGAAATCCGTACATACATCAATGAGACTTCATTCAACATCTCACGTATAAAATGGCGACGACTACCACTTGTTACAAATACGTATTATATTATAATTCTATTGTAAAATAGTTGGAAATTTTAATGTTTATAATATTTTATACATGCTATTATTTTTATATTTAAAATATTATTCATTGTGAAAATCATTTCCAAGTAGTAAAATGAATGCAATTGTTCTGATTTCCGATGTAAATTATGGCGCCGAATTTGAAATTACAATATAAATGTACTAGTTTAAATTTCATTCTCAGAAGTTATTTTGCAATTTTTCTTTTATATATCGTAAAAATTTTATTTAAATTTTATCATTTCTATTTATTTTACAGGTAAGTTATGTTTCGTATCCCCAAAGCAACAATGCCTGTGACTATTGTAGCCACAAAAAAGCAGAAACAAATGCAAACATGCTTATATTCATCTTATGAATGCTCACAACCTTGCCTTGAAGGATTTAATTATTGTGCTAAACATATCCTCGAAGATCCAAATGCACCTTATAAGCAATGTGGCTTTGTATATAATACTAATGGCAGAAAATGTCAAAATCCTGCACCAATATTGGACAGAAGAGATATTTCGTATGTGTAAATCTATATTTAATGAATTTAATGAATTTAATGAATTATTATATCTTTTAAATTATATAAAAAAAATTTTAATATGTGCTTATAGATATTGCATTGAACATACTAGAAAAGCCCAAATAGCACGCATAAAATCAACAGCAAGACATTCTTTACCACAGACACCTGAAATGCTTTTACTTAATTTAAGTCATTATGTTAAGAAAACAGATTCAAGTACTGAAGAAACTGAAGATGAAGAAGGAAAAGTTAAAGCATTAGATCCTTTCAGTAAGTTTTGATCTAATATTCTGTTGACAACAAAAAAAAAATAAAATTCAACAATGTGCAAATCTTGTACTAAAATTATTTTTAGCTGAAGTTGATGCATACAAAGTAAATGCAAGTGGATGTGATATTCTGGATTATGCAAGTTCCTCTGATAGTGACATTGAACCTACAACAGTAACTGATACTTTAAGAGGAAGTTATCTCGATGATAGTGATAATGAAAGTTTATACAGTGCACAAGAAGATCCTCTAAAGTAAGAATATGTATGAATACTCATCATACTTTGTTTCTTTTTGTAGAACATAAGCTAGTTTGCTTTGGCTTGAGCAAATTTTAAAATTGATATTATATCAGTTGCCTTTATCTTTACTTACTTTCCTTTTGTAGTTGCTTTTTGCAAAAATAAAACAGTAATTTCTATTGAATCATTAGTATTAATTTTTTAAGGCATGCTGGAATTTTTACTGCTGAGGAAGTGATCTACATTGCACGGGAGAAACTAATTAGACTGCAATCACTTTACATAGATCAGTATAGAAGACTGCAATACATATTAAGAGAAAAAAGACGAAAGTATTTACATGCACTTAAAAAAGAAAAGGAAACATTGTGTAGTATACACGACCAACCAAAGGAAACTGTAAAAGAAAAAAAGATTTATGAAAAATTAAAAGCTTTAAATCGTTATCATAGAAGAAGCGGAATTGAAGCTATATTGTATAGAAAATCTTTAGAACGCAGAGCACAGGTAATTAAAGTACAGTTTTTTACTTTAATTTATTACTTTGAATTATTATTTTAATTATAGGGGACGCGTTCCTCTAGTCTTTGTCCTACAGCCAAATCCAATAAACGTATAAATGTAATGTAAGGGACATATCCCTGGGCAGTACCATTAGACCCATAAAACAATTACGAAAATTACTTTATATAAATAATATACAATTATACAATTCAACAGAAATGTTGCAGTTCGTCTGATTCGTTCAATAGCTTGTATAGAATTGAATTCTTCCGCCTTTATTTCCGAGTCTTCAAGTACCACTCATTTATAGTCTTTATAGCTTTAGTAGGTAGCATTCTTATTTTTTCTAGGGATCTCGCAGTTCCTAGAAGGTCCGAAAATTCTTTGTTTTATGTTTTTTCCTTAATGTGAATTTTATGTACTATCGACTTTCTTTACATTTATGGGCCTAATCTTTGCCAACGGCAGATTTTGGCTAAAAACAACTTATTAAATAGAGTCTTGTATACATATAGTACGCATAGTAATAACATGAAAGTATGCATAGTAGCACACAATAGTAAACACTAGTAAATCAGGAAGTTACAAAGACGCGAAGTAACAAAGACCACTCACCGCGGATTCCCAAATTAATTAATACAATATATTAAATTTTTATACTATTTTATACTACTATAACAGATAATGATAATGAAAATTATGATTATATATTTTTCATAGGCAACTGAAGGACCTGCACAAAAAATACCAAGTATATCAAAATGTATCTTTACAGAAGGTGGAGTAAAATGTGGAGAGAGAACTCTTCCTGCTGCAAAGCATTGTCGCAAACATATTCTTAAAGTAAAATAATTTTATTTAATTATATAATCAAAAATATATATTTTAAAAAATTTATTATGTTGATAGGATCAACATCAAGTTTTATTTAAAGCATGTGGAGCAGTTCGAGCAGATATAGAGTGTCACGAACCAGTACCTGTAATTTTTGATACAAATTGCGTATTTCATATGAATTTACCATCTGAATGTAAATTAGAAACTATGAAAGTAAGTGTTTAAGCAGATTTTTCTATATATTGGTGAAAGTAATACAACAATATTAATTCTTTTTATTACACAATATTTAGTTTAAGGAATCAAAATCTGAAGCACGGGAAATATCAGCAACAGACAGTCACTCTATGGAAATTGATGTAGTAGGAGAACTTCAAGAAATTGATCCAGATGATGATATGGCAGGATTAATGAGAGAGATGAGTGATGCAGCACACATGAAACCAGTATTCAATGAAAGTTTAAATAGTGAAGCTAGCACAGATACAGCTTTTAGTTTATCAGCACAAATGAGTGATAGAGATGATCTTGTTTCTGTGTGACAAGTTATTTTTCTATGACTTCAAATAACATAGAATATTAATGATTATTATTATATAATTGTATACTAATTTTATTTATGGACTTTATTTCACTGAACTTGTATATTAAGTTAAGTGCCTAAACATTAAAAACAAACATCCACATTGTATGGCAACAAATATATTGATATAATTTATAGTTTTATGTATTTGTGTATATAGTTACCAAGTATCATCTTCATTTGTAAATATATAATTCCTATTTTTTCATTGTAAAATTTTAAAAATTAAAAAAAAGTGCACCTTCTTAATGATCATTTCGTTTCACTCTTTATATTATGCTATTTTTTCAATGAATTATTATTTAAATATTACTTTTATTAATGTTGTATTTCACTTGATATTAAACTTAATTTAAGAAAATAAAATATTTGTATTATAAATAAAGGATTAAATTTAGTATCTTAGAATAACTATTATTAAAATAGTTATTGAAGTTTATTACAGTAAATAAGAACAAATAAAAAAAAAGAACAAATTTAAAACAATAAAACATTTTTTTTAAATATAACAAATTTACTATTTCTATGTATATTATATGTAAAAAGAAATTAAAATCTTTCATAGGATACATAATAATAGGATATAAACGTCTTTCCAAAAACTAACGTTTATGCTTTGCATTTAAATTTTTACAAAAAGCGCAAATCATTTAGTTAAATACACTAGTATTAATATAAGATGTAATGTAAGAAAGTATTTCGCTTACAAGAATATAACGCTTTTTTCAATTTTTTACATTTTCTGTAAAAAAATACATTGTTATTGATCATGGTATTAATCATTGACATACAAACAAAATAAATGTAACTTACAATAAGTAGATGAGGTTTTATCATAATTTGGTTGTTTAAATAGTATGTAAGTAATAAAAAAAATGTATGACATATTTTGTAAATGAATTTTTCATTTCATTAGAGTGATAAATGCAGTGTGTAGAAATAATTGTATAACATTGACAAAATTTTGTTTAAAACATAATTTTAGAAAATTGGAGATATTTCTATTTTCATAGTTATAAATAACGATTGCATTTTTTAATGTACAACTAAAAATATTTAGCTTTGAAATTTTAATTATGTATTATCTTATGCAGACATGCAGATATGTACATATAATTGTAAGTAATTACCAATCTAACAATTGATAATTACTATGGCAGTATAAGAGTACTTTAAAATTTTAACATATCCAATCATTTTGAATCATGATTTACCGCCTTCGTTTATCTGTGTCTATACTTGAAGAATTTACTTTGTGCACAAGCTTAACTATAATTACATAAAACTAGAATATGCTGTGACACTATCAGTAATTACCATATTATTCGTTAATTACTAAAACAAGAATTTAAATATATGCACTCTTTTTGTGGTATAATATTTAAAACTTTGTGCAAATGCAGAATTGTAATAAAACAACTTGAAAGAAATAAGCACCAAAGAACAAATATTTTTATAGTAGTTTAAAATGCATTTATGATCAATAAGTATCTAATTTTCTATCATTTCATAAATAACTTGATAACATTGCTTTTTTTTGGTCTTATAATTCAACTAATATATATCTATTTCAACTTAAAATTATTATAAAGCATATAGAGCACTTTGCTAACTTTTATAGTAATACATTTATGGTAGAATTATGTATAACATTGATTCAATTACAAAGTATTTATCTGAAGCAGTATTTATCTAAATTATTATATCAAAATAAAGGATGCAGTTATTAAATATATCACAATTAAACTTGGACATTAATACATTGATAATTATAAAACACATACATATCATGTAAATGCCAGGCGTCTGATAACTAAAAAAATAATTTAGATTTTAATTATTTAACGCACAATTGTCATAACAGACAATACACATTCATACTGATTTGTTATCTAAATATAAAATCAAAACAATCATATTTGTAGAGAGTCAGGTAAATCAAACTAAAAATACTTTAATTAAAATAAATGTGTTAATGAAATAATAGTTACTCAGTTTTTGTACACAATTTCTTTTTATATCAACTTTAATATTACATTTCTCATTTTTTTACAATAATGTAATCCAAGTATCATTTACTATTAATAAACTTAGAAAAAAGAACTGCATGGCATTTTCACAGTTGATGTGATTTTAGTAATAAAATATCAAAAACTATCCAGTAAAAATTGACTACAATTATCTATTTTTGTAATAATCTATCAAGTAAATTGCAAAACGCTTAAATTTTAGCCTGAATTCTGACTGTTTTTATTATTTTCAAAGAACGCAATATCTCAAATATAATTTTTAATAAGTATACTTCAAATATTGTCGTTGCATTTGAATTATCTAACTTTCTTCAAGTTGTTTAGCTCATTTTTTCTTGTGCACGGAATATTCTTAGTATTGTAAAACATTTAGCATTTATTCCATTATAGTACCTTCTTAAGTATTTAACAACAAGCTATGTTGTTATCGATAAGAAATCTTATGCTAAATGTAAGAAGAAGAAAAAGTAAATTGTTTATGTCATAGTAACAGTAAATATTGTTTCGGTAAGAATGCACAGTCAAAGTTTTATTGACTTAATTGTTGACTGTAAATATAGATCTAGGAAGTACTGCAAGCTTACCATCGTTCAAAAAAGTTGTCAGTCTTTGCAAATTTAATCGCTGAATATATTTTTCAGATCGTGTTCATAGAACGCTATAATTAACATTATTCCAAGGCCACACAATAGCCCTAACGCTTGCAAAATACACTGCCATTGAGAGCTACGCTCCACAGAGTGACTTGAAGATAATTCTGGAATCTGTGTAAACGTTTAATTTTTAATTTTACAATCCATTCGATAAATACAAATTATATGCTACAAGAATATAATACTACTTACCATATCTACTAATGCTATATATATAAACATTCCTGCAGCAGCTGCAAACATCCAACTACTTATAGCAGGAGTGCTCCCTAATAATACACCAAATATCATACCGAATAAACAAAGTACGGAAGATAACAAATTATAAAAAACAGCCTGTTTAGCACTCATACCGGCTTTTAACAAAACTGCAAAATCTCCTGTTATGAATGGAATAAAATTGAGATAAAAATTCTAAATACTTTATAAGATTATTTATCTATTATAAGTTATGTATACCTATTTCATGAGGTAATTCGTGGCAAAATACAGCTATTGCCGTGGAGAAACCACCTGCTATATTTGCCGAAAAGGCGGCGCCTATAGCCATACCATCTGTGAAGTTATGCAAACCATCACCCATTACTACCATCCAAGCAACACTAGACATAGATTCAGGCGCAGAATGAACATGACCTAACAAAAAAATTTTAAATCATATTTAAAAAACATTTTAAATTATACTTATCAAATAAATCAGATATGAAATGATATAATTAAATAGTACCATGTGAATGAGTATGACCATGATGTTTCATTTCATGTTCGCGTATAATAACAGTATAACTTTCTGATTCATTTAAAGGTATATCTGCACCATCCGCATTTTTTTTAGTATTTACAATTGAATCGTCTAATCTCCAATCTTCGCTTGGTTTTTTCTCCACATCATTTGTCATAATTTTTGAAACTGAATTGCAGTTTGATGTTAATGGTTTTTCCTCTTCAATCACAGGAGGCCTTTCATGATTATTATGTTGGCGATTATGATGATTATCTGAATAATAAACATATTTAAATAATAATAAACATTATTAAAACATAATATAATGATAATATAATGAATATAAAAAATAATATAATGATAATAATACTATGCCTTGATCTGTGCTAATTTCTCCATAACAATATGGATATGATGAATATTTGTGTTTGCAAAGTTTTTCTCCAACAACATTACTGTTTGGTCCATCAGTTTCTCTCATCACTCGAACACGTGACGGAAGCTAAACGAACAATTTTCGTAAGCATATTTAAATGTTTATGTTCTATAAATGTAACAAATAATTACTTTGTTACGCCGTTGTCGAAGTTTTCTCCATTCCGCTAACATCGTTAAAGCTTTCTCCGTGAAAAAAAATAAAGCAAGACCCATCATTGCAATAAGCCCTTTCCACATATTCATATTATGTTCCTCCTTAAAATCTATTTCAACATGATCATTATGAATATGTTCATGAGTATGATGTGACATCATTGCCTAAGACAAAAACAATTCTTTCCTATGTAATAACATAATTTATTTTTCTTATGCTAAAAATTCATAGTATAATATCTTACATGTGGTAAAAGATGAATGAGAGCATCACCACATAATGTTCCTACAGCAAGAGCAACTAAAAATTGTAATAACTGATGATAATAAATTTTACCCATGAAAGGTATAACAGCTACCCCAAGTAAACCACAGAGACTGATTATTAGAATACTGATTGTTGAATAGGCCCACACTAAATAGGAAAGTCATGTACTTAGAATTCTACAGTACTTAAAAATATAAAATTGATATTATATTAATTATATACCTTGAACCATATTGCGAGTGATGTCTTCTCCATGATATTTATTAATTTTTATCAGTTTATAATTCTCGGGTACACGAATACATCCATTTCTCTCTGAACTTGATTCACCTGCTAGTTGATAAACAAGAGCTGGACACACGCGTTCAAAAAGCCAACTTGGTAATGTTGAATTATTATTAGCAATGTATGGCATATCTCTTGCAACAGTACTTAATAATTCTTTACTACTTAAGCACTGAAATAGCGAGATAGTCATTTATAAGGAATATTTAATACAAGGAAAAAATTAATTTGAGTTTTCTATGATAGAGTATAATTTTAATTGTTGCAATTTATCTCACCCTTTCCTTTTTAATTCCATTTTCATATTCTGGTAGGCCATTATTTTGTAAATTCTTTGAATTGTCTACACAAAAAGAAAAGGATTTATATTGGAAAATTTTGTTTAATATTACTTATTATAAAAACATAAATGATTTTATAACAATAAATAGAATACGCTTAAGCAGAGCATATAGATGTTATATTATAAAATATGTATTTTGATAGCAACAAGAATTTACGATGTCACTGATAATAGAAATATGTCGGTTATCTACGTAGAGGATAACATTACACATGATATGATTATTTAACTTATCTCATATAGTGAACAAGAATAATATTAAATTTTGCTTATTCATTCATTAAAATCTGCAAAATGGACATTATAAATTCTTCCTAATCTTTAATTATATTCTCACATACATATTTCATAAAACAGTACACTTATTTCATAAAATGACATAAATATATTTTAATATAGTTATAAATGAAATCAATAAATAACTATGAATCAATTGAAAAGGAATTTGAACTCTTAAATTACACTAAATGATGATTCTCACATTGAATAAAGATAAAATATTATCAGCTTATATATATAAGAGCAGATGTAGCTTTATTTCTTATTATGATTGATAGATTGGCTAATTGGTAATTAAAAGTGGTACACCGTGTGTGTGTGTGTGTGTGTGTAATACCAATTGATCTTGAAATGAATTCTTAAATATAAATTCTGAAATTCATCAAAGAGAAATGCTTTTAATAATGACCTAATTAATAAATTAAGAAACTTACCTAGTGGATTTTTATTCTGACTAGTAATAATATTATGATTTTCTAAATTTGATGCATCTGTCAATAATCTTAATAGTCCTAATTTTTTTAACAATTTTTCAAAACCTTCCATTGTTATGCTTGTACCATCTCCATAAGTTTCAAAAATCTTTTTCATGAAATATTTTTCATCTATAATATCTACATTTCTTTTTGTTCTAATCCTGTTAAGAGGATTTTGATCTTTGTTAAATTGTGCTGCATTTAATTCACTATTGTGCATGATTTCAATTTGGCCTAGCCTTTCTAATATTTCTATATCCTTCAAAGTTTTAGGATCTTTTTTTACCATTGGATTATCACTATTTTCAATATTTTCATTAATCTTTACATTTCCTAGATTTTCATGTTTATAGATTTCATTTGGTACCAATGAAGTAGTTTTGCTTCTGCTATTTGTATCCAATACATTAGAAAATTTAACAGCACCATTATTGTAAACAAAATTATTTAAATTTAATTTTCTCACATCCTTTTGCTGTGTTTCTTTAAATTTTATTAATAACCAAGATGGTTGTAATTGTTCATGAGGTCCTAGCTGCTTCTCAGAGTTAACTGAATTATAAGTCGTCTGTCTTGTTGTTGAGAATTCAGTGTGTGCTGAACATGGAGTATGTGCAGCACATAAAACACAAACTACACAAACTGTGACAAAATGATGTGACATGTTGTATATCCTGAAAAATGAAATAAAAAATTTTGATTTAAATATAGTTAATTTATAAGTATATATTGAAGCTTAATATTTACCAACCTTTATCATATTTTATCATGTAATAATGAAATAATATTAAAGTACGTTCAAACTATTTGTTATTCAGCATTATGGTCTACTCAAAAACTCATTACATCAGAGGATAGGCAATAGAATATTACATCAAATGGGAAGTTGTTATCTATGTAACAATCATAATGATAATGAATCCAATTATAGCTAATGTTATCATTGAGTTATTATATATTATTTTAAAGAAATTTATATTCAAAATATAGTATAAAGTGTAACTAGTTAAATTATAGTATATATAGTATAGTATAGTAAAATATAGTATAAAGTATAACTAGTTAATTATTTAAGTCATATCTTATAAATTTTATTATGAACAAATAAAAAAATATATGATTTAATATTTTTTAATATATGAAAAATAAACACAATTTACAATTTTTTAATAACATTAATATTAAATAAAATGAATTTATTGTGAAATCATAAGTATAAATTATATGATTCTTACAATAAAGATATTTGCAAATGTTACAATAATAATTTAAAAAAATATATATTTTTGAAAAATATATGTATATATATATATATTCTTGATTCTTTTTTGCATATTACAATTTTTAAAAAAAGAATTCTAAAAATATTATTTCTATTTATAAAAAGAATGAATAATTAAATTTTGATCAACACATTATTGTATATTATAGATATCAGTGCCATAGATAAGATGGCACAAAATAAATATTTACAACAATAGTAATTGATAATAAACTTAAAAAGTGATTAATTCTATTTTGAAGAATAAATACATTTTTATAACAACAGATATAATAAGAAAAAATAAAATTCGAAATTATCTTAATTTAATTTAATTAATTATCGTATTAAGTAAAGAATTATTATTTTTGCCCAACTATCGTTATGCATTTTTTTTTTTTTTTTGCTTCACATGAAAATTGTAAACGTCTAATTATAATTCTTATCGCATAAATTACAATTTCAAATAGAAAGGAAAAGTACAGGAATAGAAAATAGAAAAGATCGCGCGTAAAACACATTTAACTATCTTGTTAACTTATTCTATTGACAGTAATATACAACAAATGAAAAAATTCGAAACATATAATTTTTATTTAAACTGTGTATTAAATTCATTGCAGATTAAACGCTTATATTCAAACGTAAAGCAAAAAAAAAAA